CATGAACAAGATAATGGTGATGTTATTTTGTGTATGTATCATGTTAACTTGCTATGTAACAACAAGATAATGAATCTAATGAAGTTGTTATTTTGTGTATGAATTGTGTTAAGTTTCTGTTACATTTTTCGTCTTCATTTCTAATCATTACAAAGTGAACAAAAAAAATAACATTTTCATTGCAATTAACTTCAAACCAATACAAGGTTAACCAAAAACAACATCTTCATTTCAATTCAAACGAAAAAGTACATTAATTTAATTACAAGTTTCCATCAACAGACAACATTAATCCTAAGTTGACAACAACAACTTACACCCAAGTTTACACCAATTAAAAACACTACTTAATTACAGTTGACAACACTAATCCCACTATCAAAACAAATGTTATTGAAACAGAGAATTTCATCATTAAATTCATTGAATTCAACTTCATATTCACTTCTGCTACTTTTATATTGGCTTCATCAACTTTTGTCCTTTCTTGATCCAAATTTTTGTGTAGTGAAGTGATAATTTTCTTGGCTCTTGAAGATATTTCATCATCATACTAAAACAAAATGGTTACACCTTTACCATGTGCCTATAAAGAACACATATGAATGAATTAAACCCCCCACACACAAAACTGATAAAAACTGCATTTTTTCGAACCAGCAAACATGGACATTACCTTGTATATCTCACACAAAAAAAACGTCGACCTGAGTTGGAATTGATCCACGAAGTCATCAATGGAGCTTCAAGCCCACACATGCACTCGCTTCGAAAAGTACATGAAAACATAGCCCCGAGACTACTGGCTTTCGAGCATTGAGACATCTTCAAAAAATGATAATGGAAAACGAAAAGGGAAGTCGAAAGTGAAGGTAAGACGAACGCAGGTTGAAGCTGAAAGACTAGGATTTGCAAACAAAGAAGAAAGAGAAGCTTCCACTTTATAACATAGTTTTAATCTTTTTTTATTCCTTAAATTTAAATAAAATAGTTCTGAAAAAATAAACTATTAAATTACAAATTAAAAATGAATAATAAATTGGTTTTAATGATGTGGCAAGTGATTGGTCAACTCTTGGGGTGCCATGTCATTAAAATAACTGACAAATGGCAGGGATCATAAAAAATTCACGTTAATTGATATTGAGAGACCTAATAGCTATTTTTTTTATAGGGAGACTAAAATGTTAGAAAAATTAATATAGGGAGACCAAAAGTATATTTAAGCCTAAAATATATGGATATTGATGTGGATTTAATGATACTCGTGTCCACAAATATCAGTATCTGTTTATAAATTAAAAATTTTATTTTAATATCATTAGTTTATTACACCTTGTCTTTTCATCTTTTAAAAAAATTAGTCTTCTTTTATATATATATATATATATATATATATATATATATATATATATATATATATATATATATATATATATATATATATATATATATATATATATATATATATATATATATATATATATATATATATATATTTCATTTTTGAAATTTTCTTTGAAGAAAACATTTCACATTCTATACAAATCATATTTGACTATTTCATATTTAAGTTTCTTCAATACTTTATACTTCACTTCAACTATTCCACCATTCAACCAATCAGTACCGTCCTTCGTTTGTTCAACTAGTGTCTTCCTTCCTACTCCTTACCCATTCACTCTTCCATCATAACTCACAATCACAATATCTTTTATTTGTTTTGACTCAAAATAAAATGTATGGATATTATGTTTGCTTGTTATTATGTTTTGGTGAAAAAGAAGGAAACTAATGTATTAAAATTTTGTTGTTAAATTGAGAGTGAATTGTATGGATGGTATATGATAATAACTATATTTTTAAAAGAAATTGAAAATATTTTTTTCAAAAAATAATTTTAGAAAAAATGTTATCCACGAATAACTGTAAATATTCGTGGATATCTCAAAACTCGTGAATTACTCACTTATGAGACGAATACGAATATCATATTTATCTAAGAGGACGAATACAGATATCGTAATATCCGTTCCCATGAATATTCATTTACATCCCTAGATTTAAATAGATTATGATATTTTACATTGAGAAAATCTACTTTTAATATAATAAAGTAGTATCCTATCAAATTTACTTCATTATCCTAATTAAAGTTAACTAAAAATAGTATTTTGTGTTCCTAATGATCATTTTCATTTGATAATTATTGTATTACTATATGTAATTATTACTTTCATTTTTTATTATTTTTTTCACTTTAATAATAATACCTAATTATTAGGTTAAGTCTATATTCCAAAACAAAGCCGCCATATTTCTCTTTCTCTGTTCCAATAAATCTATCGTACTTCTCCAAACAAAAGCTTTCTCTTTCTCTTTCTCTCTATCGGCAACTAAAAAATTCCAATAGAATTTGAAATACCTGCTTTAGAAAAATAAAGCCTTTTCTTATACTAAACCCCTTACCTCTGCTTAATCCATTCAAGAGAAAACCACGTCTTCTTTCTTCTTCATTTCTTCCATAATAATTTCTTTTTCTTCCTCAGAGACATTCAAATATAACGTTGACAAAATTTTGGATCTACTTTTGAATCATCAGAGCCTCAACCTCAACTCTAATACAATATATGTTATCTCTTTCTTCTCAATCAATTTCAATCACTTGATTAGGATTTATACTCTTCGCCTCTCATTTTCTCTTTTCAGCTTGCAGATATGATAAATATTTAGCTGACTATATATATATAATTCACAAAAGATAAGCCATCTATAAAATAAAGCATATGGGTTTGGTTTGATGTGTTAGAAAAAAGAATAATTATGAATTAAAGTTATGAATATTTTAGTATGATGTTATACATATTTTTGAATATTTTAGAAACTCATAAGAGTTTTTATATATATTTTTTTAATTATGCGATAAGTATATTACTATCAAATATCAATCAATTTTGAATGTTATAGATTAACTATTTGTAAAATAATTATAGGATTAAGAGTTTATATTTATTTATAAACAATTATAGTCGTTTTTTGAGTTGAAGTTAGTTTTTAAATATTAAATAAAAAAAACCTTGGAATAAAAAAAAAGAATGGCCAGTCCAATACCACTCGACAACATAAAAATAATTGAATTGCATTATTTTATTTTTGGTTGAATCACAATTAATAATTAAATCACAATTTATCATAATTAATAATTAAATCACATTTAACTTATTGGAAAGAAAAATAGAATAAGTGGTTAAGATAAATAAGGAGAATATAGAATCGCTCTTCATAGGTTGGATGGGAAAAATATCACAATTTATCATAATTAATAATTAATATTGTGAAATTATATAATTATTGCAATATTAATTTTCTTAGTTCAAATTGATTTGAATTCTTTAAATTTTTTTATAGTTTTTTTAATTATCATTAATGACAATTTCAAATACTAACGAATAAAATAACAAATAAAATAAATAGTATTAATCAGACGTGCATACCGTATCAGCTTCTAAAAAAAACCTTCCCTATTTACTTTTAAATTTGAGATGATAAGCAATTACTCTTTCAAAAAATATATGTATTTTCATGTTTCAATGCAATCAAAGTTATATTTGCCTAATAGATATATTTGGATTAATAAATTCAAAATTAATAAATAAATTATTTAATTTTATATTTCTTAGACATTTATCATATAATTATAATAAAGCATCAAAATGATAAAGAATATTATTGAAAGATTAATAAATAAATAAATAAATCTATTAAATTTTTTGATTTATTTAAATAAGTGTAATTAATTACGGGATCTATTAATTTTTTATTTGTACTTCTTTGCAAGATTTAATAAATAAATTACATCTTTAAAAATGGACTCTTAACCTAATATTTCTATAATATATTATTTTATAATCTCCCCTTTAAAAATATATCATTTCATAATCTCTCCTTTCAATAATATATTATTTTATAATCTCTCTTTCAATAATTAATTAATTCTTCAATATTTATTTTGTTTACTTAAAAAAAATATAATTTTTTTTCGATAATTAATTTTTTTCTTCAATAATATATTATTTTTATAAACGGGAAATAGTTAACTGTTGATATAATTATCTTTTTAAGCGGAAATAAGTTACCAATATTTTTATTAACGAGAAAAAGTCAACTGTTACAATTATTTTCACAAACGAAAATAAATGACATATATTTTTTAAATGGATACGTGGGTTCTAAAACCTTTTTCCGCCCTGCAAAACCATGGGTGCAAGACGGGGTGGACACGCGGATATTGCATATTTGTAACAATATTGTGTGACTCATACAAATGCACAAGTAGACAATCGATTTTATATGTGTAAGTGTTGACAACTACTATAACTTGATAAATTAAATTAATGTAAATGTACGGATTTTTTACTAATGTATTTTAAAATATTTTCAATTCTATACATTATTGAACAAATATAATTCGGAAATAACGAAATACAAATGCAAGCTACCACATAAATCAGTTTTTAGTTTGAGGTTCAAAATTTTCAAAAACCAAACCTCCAATTGGTCACGAAATTGCGAGAACATAATTTAGAAGAGGTCAATATACTTATAATGTCTTCAAGTTCAACAATATAATCTCCATTTGGGACCATGGAAAAGAAGAATTTGATGAACTACATTTATAAAACCAAAATGGATTTATTCAATCAATACTTAGACTCCTTATAAATTATGTATGCAGTGTTAACAAAAATTAAGTTGTTTTACTTTTAAGATGATTATCATTTGGCCATAAGAGTCTTTGAGGTACTAGATGCTTCTAGCATAAAATTATAGTATCTATGTATGCATAACAATTCTTGATGTTTTTTGTGGATCAAGATGCAACACCAATAAAATTACATGAATAAAGTATGCTAACTTTTGCTTTCCAGAAATAGTTAAACAATGTCTAGCACCAATTTTCTTTGGCAACCGAAGATAAATGTTGAGAAAAGCAAATTTTGCTAGGAAGAACCGGTGTCGCCGCGAATGCCAAAGGAAGTCTTCAACTTGTTAGTAAGAAGTGGCAGCATCTTAATGCTGTCTTGAATTGCTTCGTCGGCACAGGAAACCAAGACATTCATAGCTCCGTTTTTTTGCTGGAGCTTAGCTCCCTCGTACTTATCTTGACAAACCATCAGAGATCGATTCAACTTCTCCTGCAACATATTGAAAACGGCATTAGACGAAAGAGGTAAGGTAATAAACGCAAAGACAATGCTTCAAGGAAGTAGAACATGCTGCAAATAAACAATTGATACTCCATGAACATGTGTAACATATTATCGGTGTTTAAATATCAACAGCTTATTTGCACATTGAGTTTTGAATGTTTTAAGAAGCATTGTCAACAACAACAATCTATCCTCTAACCAACTATTGGGAGATAAAAAACCAATAAGAAAGTAAACTCAGTGTTGCAAAGATGTAAATGATACATTTTATGAGTGAATGTGATCACACAAGACAATATAGAATTAGAAATTAATCAGTTGACACAAAATTGGGACAGTAGCCATTGTAGAAAAAATGGTAGAGTATCATCTTTGTGATTTGGGAGTTAAGCTCTTTGTTTCAAGTTGTTAGGTACCTAGGGAGTTGGCCTATACAATCAAAGTATATGGCACGACATCAGAATTCGAGACAGAAAATAGCATGCATAAAAGTTAATAAGTGTGGGACAACAAAAGGGAGACAATAGAAAAGGCTGTTGGATGAAGTATAGAGAATTTAAAGGGAAAATTATAAATTTGTATAGTGTCAACCGGTCAAGCTTCAATCGTCACTTAGAAGTAGAATCAATACCCAATTAAGCATCCTTGATTCTAGGCTTAAAAGGCTTCTATAGTTCATAAGACTTCTCTTCATAATTTTATGCACAAGTTACAAATATAAGGAAGTAATAACAGATCAGAAAATGAGAGAGGGAGGGAGGGAGAGAGAATGCAATCACAGAGTTGCATTGTAGCTTACCTGAAACTTTGCCATTTCATTATCAAACGTTTGTTGCACATTAGTAAGAGGAATACTGCAATTTTCAACACAATGGCTTATCTCCTCCTGCCTTCTACTTCTATCAAAGCACTCATATGCACATTTAAAATACGCTTTCTGCAAATATTCAATCAAACAATCAACTATATAGAATAGACATTCTATTTCCCAAGCAAAGAAATTGCCAAATATTTACCATTATATGCCAAAACATTAAATATCTACATTTAAAATTTAAAACAATTGGTGTAAAAGAAGAAAAAAAATAGATCCTCAAAACCTTTAATGCCAAGAAACATAAAAGCCAATACTAGTTTTCATTTATGACTTCTACGCACAAAAGAATATCATTAGTAAAATAATTTGAACCAAAATTCAGACAAAGAAAAGAAAAATGCAGGGGGGGAAATCAGCTAGCCAGATGGTATCAAAAGAAAAGAAAAATGCAGGGGAAAAAAATCAGCTAGCCAAATGGTATCAACTTTATAGGTACCCATTTCAATATAAATTTAGTCGTCACGATAAAATGATCCAATATTCCAAGGCAAGATACAGTTCTAGCAGAGTAGTTAATAGCAACAATATCCTGCTATAGCAGAGCGAAAGCCGGCCACTATGGGAACACTATAGTGGCCGCTATAGGGTAAATAGCGGGTAGCGGGGGCGAAGGAGTTTCTGGTCCGGAGCGGTTTCTGTCTCGCTATCTTTTTTCCCTCTGAAAAAACTGAAATCACTCCTTAACTTTAAAACGTTTTAAGGGTAATTTTAGGTTTTTCAATCAAATTTGATATGAGACTCCTCCCCCCTAACCTTCCTTAACCGTCACTTCTGCACTTCAGCCATTCCAAAGAAAAATCACAAGTTCCTCCTCCCTCACCTCTCTCTGCACTTCGCTATTCCCTCTAGACTTCATATGTTTATAATTATTATTCATGTAATTTGTGAAAAACTGATCAAATTGCAGGCATCCCGCTATACGCTATTCCGCTATCCCATTTTTGGGGTCGGCTGTTTCTCATAGCTATTGGGATTGACTACTCTGGTTCTAGGATCAAAAGTCAAAATCATCGAAGTAATTATAACAGAACGAAACCAGATGGAACCTGAAGAGTATAGTTGACATGGTCTTGAACAGGTGCAAGATGAGTTTGAGCAGCTACATTCACTTCCTCAAGTTTCTGCCTAAGTCTCTGTGAAGCTAATTGTTCTTCAGCTGCTGCAAAATGATCCATCTGATATATACTCACTGTCAAAAATGGTGTCTCAAACTTAGTTTTGAAATTTAACTTCTTTCTTGTCATAGTGATAACAAAATCTACAAACCTAAAATTTGTTATGAAAGTGATAACAAAAACCACAAATTTACTAACAAAAAAATGGGGGAAAATTAAAAATCTAGGGTTTTATACTGAACTCTATAAGAAATGCAATTTTAATCGAAACTTGAAACAACAAAAACGAAATCCCAATATTTTGGATAGAGCAACAAGAATGGAGAATGAAGCAGAAGATGATTTTACTAACCTGGGAATGTGTGGTTTGAAGTAAATTCAATTTGGATTCTCTTTGAGAACAACTCAGAAATTTGTTGAAATTTTTTATGCGGCTTTGTTTTTCGATTTCGTTTCCAAGGGTTTAAGGGTTTAACCCTTGCAAGAGAATTTTCTTTTTTTTTTTCTTTCGGATTTTTTCGTCCATATTTTGTTTTAATAAATTGTTAAACTAATTTTTTTTTTTAATTACTAATTTACAAAGAAATTAATTGTTACATTCGTGTAAATTATTTTCACACATGCAATCTGAAATCACATCATAGTGTCACTTTTATAGATTTGTTCTGCATCCAATAAAATTGTATCATAGTATCACTTTTATAGACTTGTTTCTAAAATATAGCCTAAAATATTAAATGTCATGATTTAATTGAATTTATGTGTAAAATTATTTTTTACTGTGCATGAGTAGTGGTGAAAATAGACTAAGTTAAGTTAAACTTGTATGACCTACTATAAACTCTTTATTATAGTTTGTCCTGATCTTTTTTAAAGTATAATCGGTCCTAAAAGTCTATTTAAAAGTCTATTTATTATTAAGGTATTCAATTAATTAATATTATTTAAAGAAGTCTTATACGGTATATATATATATATATATATATATATATATATATATATATATATATATATATATATATATATATATATATATATATATATATATATATATATATATATATATATATTATGAGAATGAGTAAGTTATATGAGAATGTGAGAATGAATAAAAATCAACTAAAACATTAATTAAATTTTAAAAATATATTTTAATCTTAATTATTCCTTTTCAAATCATTTTTATATTCTCATATAAATATATCATTTTCATATATATATATATATATATATATATATATATATATATATATATATATATATATATATATATATATATATATATATATATATATATATATATATATATATATATATATATATATATATATATATATATATTATATATATATATATATATATATATATATATATATATATATATATATATATATATATATATATATATATATATGAATATATAAATGATATATTTATATGACCTGTTTAATAATTTTACACCTTTATACTGTGTATAAGTAGTGTGAAAATAGACTAGATTTTTTAATAGCATAAATTCCATCTATTTAATTAAATAAATTTTAAAAAAAATTTAAATCTGATCTTTTATTAAAGAATTCTAGTCTAACCGGATTTCAAATAAGTTAGGCTATAGATCTTTATAGACTCAGCTGATATATTCTCATTCTTATATACATGAGTATTATTCTCATTTATAAATATCTATAAATAAAATCTATAATTATATATAAAGAAAAAACTTAGTTTTGGTATAGTTAATTTTTTTTAATTATACCCTTCAGTTTTTGTTTTTAACTTCAACTTTTTATTTATTAATTTACATATCTCATGTATTTTATTATTTTTTATTAGATCTTTATAGACTCAGCTGATATATTCTCATTTTTATATATATGAGTATTATTCTCATTTATAAATATCTATAAATAAAATCTATAATTATATATAAAGAAAAAACTTAGTTTTTGTATAGTTAATTTTTTTTAATTATACCCTTCAGTTTTTGTTTTTAATTTCAACTTTTTATTTATTAATTTACATATCTCATGTATTTTATTATTTTTTATTATTTTATAAATAATTAAAATGAAAAAATAAAAAAAAATCACAAAATACTGTTTATATTTTTATTTATCACATCTTCGCTAACTATTTATAAATAACAATATAAAAATAAATGTCAATTAACCGTATGACCGTAAAATTTTTATTGAAATTTAATTTTTAGTTTAATTATCAATAAAAAAATATCAACAAATATTATGATAGACTAACGTATAAAATATTTATACAATGAATAATAATTAATAAAATATATAAATATTTAATAATTTAATATTTTAGTATGACTTATTATAAATATTTGATTTTTATCATAATTGTTTTTAAAGTTATGTTTACGAAAAGTTGTGATGACTTCACCGGATTTAACATTTAGATTTTATTTATATTGTAATATTTTGAATGAATTTTCTATTTTGCTATAATTATTCACTTTTTCATATTGGTAAAACAATTAATTTAATGTTTTGAATGAATTTTTCATTTTGCTTTAATTTTTCACTTTTTCACATTGATAAATGTATAATCGAAAAAAATAATTGGTGTCGGGCTGAGGTGACACCGCCTCAATCCTTGGATCTCAGCCAAGTCGCCTGATCAAGTCCAAAGGGATCCCCGCGAAGTCGCTCTAACCTAAGTTACATGCCAGTCTGCCAGGACTTGAATAAATTGGGTTGCGTCCTTAAAAGATCATTACGATTGTATTTAACGACATAGTCATGGGGAAGCAGAGAAATCAATAGTAGTCATGGCCATAAGTGTGGAAATAATTCCATAATTAACAGGTATTATATATAGAGAGACATCCCTCCATCAGCAAAGGCAAGCAATCCATAAACGTGAAACACATTACATCTTCTGATGACGCTGGTTCAAAGAAACAGAGAGAAGGCGGACACCAGCGAGAAAGACTGCCCCAGGCGGGTAAGATCTATATGAGGCCTTTTGAGAGGCCCACTTTTCTTAATGCGAGTAGGGAAAAGATTCTACAAGAAACATATGCGCCCCGCACCATTCCTGAACCAGAGCCGTCCAAGAGGCCAACCATGGGTCATAATACCAATAATTATTATAAGTACCACAAAATCCGAGGGCACCATACCGAGGATTGTCACCATTTGAAACATGAGATTGAAAAGCTCATACAAAGAGGACACCTCCAAAGGTACGTACATGAAGGAGAGCGACCCGTCCGAGACGAGTCGTACGGATGAACTTCACCTCAGAAAAATGTGAGGCGAGAAATGAGGCGAATGAGTGAGCCCCACCACACATTGAACATTATAGATGGAGGATTCGCATGAGGCGAAATATCTAATCGAGCCCGAAAAGACTACACTAGGCAGGTGATTCATGTATCCCACAAATCTCTGCCAGAGGTGCCATCGTCTGAACCCGATAGCAGGTTCTCCAGGCAGGACGCAGTGGGAATCATGCCCCATGAGGATGATCCAATGATAATCAGTCTTTAGATAGGCAGTTGGGAGGTGAAACAAGTCTTGATTGGCCATGGGAGCTCATATGACATCCTATACTAGGAAGCTTTCAAGGGGCTCAACCTGGAATCAGATTCTCTCCAACCTTTCAAAGAGTCCCTCATCGATTTCTCTGGCGAATAAGTGCAGGTTATGGGCTACGTATTTCTGCTCATTATCTTCAGAGTGGGAAAGAGTGGTAAAGAGACAGACATGTGATACATGGTAATTGATCTTACCGGTTGATCAGAACCTGCAAGGTGGCTGGATGATGATCTTTTGTCGGGCTGAAATGTCGAGGAGGAAAAAAGGAGGTTGTACCTGCAAGGCACTCCGATGATCAAGTAAGTGTGGGAGCAAAGATATACGAGCAAAGAATTAGGGTTTTTGTGGTGAATAGTGAATATTCGATATTTGGCCCTCACATGTGTAAGGGTTTAAATAATTCCCCTGGCGCATGGCCATTGGTTTCTATTTTTGGGCCTAGATATGCGGGTCTGTGAAAATAGGTAACTTCCAGGACTTGGTCATACCGGGAAGGTGTGCCTCTAACTAGTCGTTGGTCCAGAGGAGGAGGTAGGTTACGGGCAGCGGTCTGGTCGGTTCCTGGTTGTCTGGGCGACTTGAGGTCGAGCAGACTAAGAGGTGCTCGTCGATCATTGTAGGTCATTTCTGGTCCAGGAAGACAAGTGACCGATAATGCCCGACGGAGGGCGGGGAGATTCGGGTTATGGTCGTATGTGTCTTACAGAAGGAGGATTCTAGACTAGGCCCACACAGGCTGTCGGGCTAGTCCAGAATATCAATCAACACGCCCTCCCCCAAAACATTATCATGGGTCGCCCCGCCTTCAACTTCATCGAGGCGGCTTTGTCCACCCATTATCTTACCATAAAATACCCGTTGGATAATAGGCAGGTGGGGTGATAAAAGGGAATCTGTAACAGGCAATTGAGGAAAACCGGGAAAAGTGTCAAGCCATCATCGACATAAGAAACCATACTTCCGTCAAAGAGGTTCAACAACTAACAGGCAAAATAACCGCTCTAGCTCGTTTCTTATTTTGTTTGGGAGATAAATTGTAATAGCTCAGGCCCCTCTCAAGGCACTCCTTGCACTGCTAACTCACGATAATCTCTACAACATCGTGATGGTGAATAAAATTTTAGACGTTAAGTTTATAAAGGAGATCAAATATCCCACCATGCTCACCAACATCGTGATGGTGAAGAAAAGTTCAGGAAAATGGAGAATATGTGTAGACTACACCGATCTCAACAAGCCGTGCCCAAAAGATCTGTATCCTCTTCCTAGCATTGATCGAATGATCGATAGATATCTGGGCTTCAAAATTCTCAACTTTATTGACACATACTTCGGGTACAACCACATCAGAATGAGTCTCGCTGATGTCCCAAAAACAACATTCATGACCAACAGGAAAAACTATCACTACTATGTAATGCCTTTTGGTTTGAAGAACACCGGGGCAAATTACCAATGCCTCATGGACTTTGTTTTTTCCAACCATATCCAACGAAACCTACAAGTCTACATCGACGATATGGTTGAACTCAACAAAATGCTCTTTCGGTGTTCACGCTGGAAAATTCCTGGGATTCATGCTAACCCATAGGGGAATTGAGGAAAACCAGGAAAAGTGTCAAGCCATCATTGACATAAGAAGCCATACTTCCGTTAAAGAGGTTCAGCAACTAACAGGCATAATAACCGCTCTAGCTCGTTTCTTATTTTGTTTAGGAGAAAAATTATAACAGCTCGGGCTCCTCGCAAGGGGCTTCTGGCACTTCTAACTCATGATATTCTCTACCCCCTTACTAGTAGAGTTTTTTTCCTTTTGTGGGAATCGAACCATGTACCATGAGGTTCAAGTACTTGTTTATTCTATTCTGACTACCAATTGAGCTATCTTGTTTTCGGTAGATCGTTCCACAAGAACTCCATAGTTAAGAGTGATTGACTTAGAGAAATTTTGGGATAGGTGACCTTCTGGGAAGTTTTATGGAAAGCATGTAAGTGAGGACAAATCGTGATGAAAAGACTCGTGTTGGCTTGTGGGTCAGTCGATAATCCCGAAGGCAATATGGGGGTTACACAAATCAA